TGATTTTCATCGATTCCATTCAAAGCTTATATAGATATGTATAAAAATTGGTTTTTGAAGAATGCTTTATTATGGACAGCATCAGAGCTGGGACTCATTCTTGATTGAGGTTTGAGTATCTTTAATTTTTTTTAACAAGCGAGTGGATGGGGTTCGTAAATTGGCCTCACGAGAAGGCGAGCTAGGACTGTATTAAAATTATAAATCTTCGGTGCACCCTCGGGATCGTGAAATAGTACAGCAAAGAGCTATAGGCTGAAATCTACCGTCACAGCCCCAAAACAAATCCCAACTCGTCTTCCAGTGAGGCCAATTTACGAATGTTCTCCAATCACTTCTTCAAAAAAAATGGAAGGTACTCCAACATATTAAACGTTCGTCTGTCGTAGGAAGAACATAATAAGGGTAGACAGCCATTCTGGATAAAAGTTCCCTTTAGGAAGCAAGCTTATGCAAAATTGACTGAGAACGTGAAGCCCACTCATTTATTTTCATTTGCAAGTAGGTAGTAAATAGCATATTATGTAGGTTTACTAACTTATTTGTGAGTAGAACTGCAATATCAGTCATTAATTATCCATATTTAATGTAAGCTTGGTAAGATTTTACTCAAACAGATTTTAAAGTAAGACTATGGATTCGATCACTCTATTTTGGTAAGATGATGAAAGACTGCCAGTTGAATGTTTCCACTCATATCATTTTGGAAAATTCAACTACCAGTCCCTAAAGGAAATATGGCGGACACAAGTCATATATCTGATTTACTAGTAGTATCGAGAACCTACTTACAAATACAAATCTGTGCTTGACAATACCCACCTGTGCATTGACCATGCGGTCAATCTTTCGAGTAAGAGCATCGTTTTCTGCCTGTGTCTCGCCAAGTCGACGTTTTAACTTCCTCACCTCCTCTTCAGAGAAGCGCAGTTGTTCCGAGAGGTCGACTTCGCGTTCTTTGATGGCATCCAGTTCTCGCTGTAGCTGTTGTTCTTCGAAAGAGGGCTCACGTGAAAGGCTGGAAGCGGCTAGTCTCGACTGGAAGATGAGTATGCATTAAGAGTTGGGTGAGAGATAGTAAAGAGATTAGACGGGGAATGGGCAGCACTGCGATAAAATGGAGATAGAAGTGCCGGGTGAGATACTATATGGTGAAGGGATTTTAGATCGATCAATGAATATATGAGTATATAGGTGTGTTAACGGGGGGAGAAAGACTAAGAAGTGTGAATATTTTTGTGATAAACGATGAAACAGAAATGAGAGAGCGATTTTTGACGCAAAGAAACAAGTCAGTCACGCACAATATACAAGTTGCTTGTCCAAATCCATTATGATCAACTTTTTTTGTTTTCACTTGAGTAAAAAAGAAGAATAAAACAATATTCTGGATGACTAATTCGAGGCTCAAGCCTCGGCTTGCTTGGATTAGGTTCAATGTTGAACCACAACGTTTGTGGTTTGGCACACAAGAGACTAGTGAATGACAAGTCCTAGACTTGGTATTAGGAATAGAAATAGGATAGACACGGCGGGGACTGGAGCTAGTTGGCTGAGAGTAGGTCTGTTGTACCATAGACGTGGATCATGTAGCAAAGGTTTGACAATGATACTTACTCGGAGACTTTAGCCTCGAATTAGTAACCCAGATGCAGAGGAGGACAAATAATGCCTCGAGTGAAATACGTGAACCAGGAAAGAGCAGACTGATCTTGCAGGGCAAGAGAGAGACTGTGATAAAACCTATGAAAAGACTGCGTAACAATATAGCAGACTGTGATCAACATTCCCAGCACAATGGAGAAAGGGGTGGAGTGCGAAGGGTTTTCATGAATGCCGCTCAAAGAAGCACACAACACTACATCGAAATAAGGATGGTGCAAATTATGACAGTGAATCCGTGATATGAGAACATAGGAAATGTGAATAGCCCAGGACGGAAGGAGAGATACCACACGTTTGGTCAAAGGATCAGCTTCACTTGTCTCTTTGACGAGTTGTTGTGTGGTGATAAGAATGGTGAGACTCAGTGACAATGCCAACTACGATGCCGGCGAAACGTCTGGAAATGTATCACGTCCACGGTCTGACTCTGGAAACGCTCATGGATACAATGGGCTCCGGACTAGGTACGTTTCTCTAAGTTCTTATGCCGATTTGATCAAGTTGCGAAAACAATGTCAAACAACCTCTATACAACAAAAGGAGACTGCGTCCACACAAAAGGTCACACCATCTTGGTTTTTATACCTTTCATTAGCATGTAACATTTCAACAAAGCAGGCTAAAAAAGAACACACTCTTGGAGAGCAATAGCAACAGTTGAATACATAGATATGTTGTATGCGCACAGGAGAATATTCAATTAATATGGCTAAGTCACTTGGAACAGCCGACAGAGATAAATTTCCATCGATAAATCAACGTTAAAGAATTTTGTCAGCAAAAATTCGGTCCAAGTATGTTTATCGAAACTACTTGTAGAGCTCGAGTAAGAGCTCTAACGTATAAAAGTTGAATTTTCCAACTTATATTTGAGTATACCTCAGGTTTCCCTTACAAGTAGCATATCATTACTTCCCAAAAGTGATTTTCATCCTGGCCGAATTGGATTACCGTTTCGACCTCGTTATATCAGCACTTCCAGCGAAATGTTAATACCAAGGCGAGATCGAAAGTGTAGACCAGTGCATAATTGTTGAGCTCACTTTCATTTCGAATGGAAGTGTTGGGTGAAGAGATTCGAAGTTGACATATGACCGTAACTAACCAAATCACTTTATACTTGATCAAAGAGGCCAGATGTGGAGTATATATACCACTTTTTAGGGATTTGCCTGGTGGTTTTGGAAAGCCTACCTAAACTTAATATAAGTAGTGTAGTTTACTGAATTGGCAAACACAAATGTCCTTCATTAACAGTGCTAGTGCAAAAAAAATGATAGGAAAATGTCTGGCCTTCCTTGAAATTAATATTTGCACAGAAGCACTCAGTAACACTTGTGGGAATGTGGCGTAAGGGATAACTTATCGTGATCAATGTTTTCCTAACAACTGACGCATTAATTGTCCACACCCATTCGATGCCCGATTAATCATACTATTTCTTGTAACTGAATAAAAATGCTGAGATCACTTCTATTTTAAGTGAAATTGTCTGGTGAAGAGATGCGGTAGTCAATCCCACCAGATGGTG